TAGTAAACTCTTACCTACTGGAGATTTGCCTAAACCAAGAAATAGTTATGAGATGTCAATTGAGTTTCAGGTATAAAGACAAGAGTGCAATACGTTGTGAGCAGTATAAGTAAGTTCTTTATAAACAACTAGTGTTACTAACTTTTCTGACATAAGATTTTAACAATGTAATTATTCAAAAGTTTAGTAAATTAGGAATCTATTTCTATAAGTCGAAAGCAATAAATATTACGCAAGTAAAATAAGCTTGTCAAAAACGTTTGGGGATAGTCGCAAACACCAAATATTTATGCTACAATGAGTCATAATGCTCGTATATTTAGAATGCAAAGTCTGTGATAAATTTTCGCAGAACATTGATAACAAGTTTTTTTCAGTTAAAACATCGACTTCGGAAACAATACCTCCAAAATACATACTCCTGATCAGTGTTCTACTTGACTAAACTGGGTGAACTTTCGGTAATAACGCAAAAATAATAAAACGGTTCAATCAATGAGTTGGATAAAAAATATATCGATATAATAATGGTTAGAAATTATCATTTCTTGCCGCAAAAAAGTAAGCAGAGAAAACAAATATATTATACAGTAAATTAACGTGTTTGGGAAGCTGCCGCAACTATGTGCGATTAAAATTACATGACTATTTACGATCATAATCATGCATTGTACTATTTGCACAAACATTAGATAGAGATAGAATTAATGAGAAATAATTTTACGGAGAGAGCAAGGCCGTTGTTCAGCTAATAGCCAAAATAAAGATCTAACAGGTCGATTGAATAACTATAACAATAAAATACAGAATCGGATGTATGGTTACCGTGACCATGAGTTGTTGTTTATTTCTAGGAACTATGTCTTTGTTTGTATGGATGAATGTTGCAGATAATAAATTTTCTATCGTCTTACTCTCGTTGATTCGATCACATAGTCGCACACATAAATTTTTCCACATGACCGGGCTAATATCAAATTAGAAATGTGCATGGTTTAAACAATTTTTGTCAACAACGTAAAATTTGATTATCTTGGATAGATTGTTACCATAAGTCGGTTCTGATATTTTATTTAGCGTTTATAGGTTCCGAGTAACTTTGACATTTTAATTTTAGGCAGTCGAAAAAACTCCTTGTAATGATATAATCGATATCGTAACAGATATTAGATGTGTAGGGACTTGGTGCTTTTATTTTGTGACGATTGGAACATAATTCTTAACGGTGCCTCGTTTTACTGGCACTATACATTCGATAGTTATCTGTGCAAGTCCAGTGTGTAACAAAAAAGCGAATATCTTTATTTTTGCCATTGCCCCTCGATGAGTTATCATATTGTACTCGTTTCTCTGTTTTTCTCAATAATAAGCGCGATAACGTTTTCTTTCTGTCCTACTAAATTAGGTAAATATACTTTCCAGAATTTTATTCCATAAGCTTTCTAGTTTACCAAAAAAATTTTTCTGCCTGCGTCTCTCTACTAATTTTTTAAAATTGTTTAATTATACCTGCAGGATGTTTTTAACAATTTGTACCAATAATGTCGATGCAATTATCCGTACATCCACGCACTTTGACAACAATGATCTCACTGCAAACTGTTAACAAATTATGCTTAATAACCATAAAGCATGTGAATGAGTTTACGTCAAATACTTTGCAAAAGAAATCATGTAATAATAAAGGAGTGTATACTTTCAACGCACGTTGTCACATAATGTGGTGTGGCATGTGTGCTTGATTTCGTTCGTTAGATTCTCATACATTTGTATGTCGACACCATTAATATTTGATTGACTTGTAGTTGTAAATAATGTTTGTAACAATCATTATTATGTTTCCTGAGTCTAATGTCGAACATGCTTAAGATTAGAAACCTCGATAGCTTTCATACCCATTATTTATTTGCAAATACACTGTCGCAAACTTTATTAATAAACTTTTTTTTCAGAATACTTGAACAAGTTAACTTTCACTTTTGCCGTTATATAACGTCCTCCGTTTATCGATAAAACAAAATTTATTATATATATGCTGAGTTGTAGTATCAACAAATATTTGCGTGATGTATTGTAATACAGAAACAGCAAAAGCCTAAGGCTCTTAAAGTCTCAATAAAATTTATAAACATGGTGTACTCTACAATGACATCTGAAAAGAGAATATTTTGCTTGAATAGTGTTGATCAGATTGACTTTGGAATGGCATGTTAGCTTGACTTCCCCAAAAAAAACATAAATTTTTTCATTTGTTAAACTGCTGTGCTTGTGTGGAAATTTATTGTCGCCTCACTTTAATGACTTGTATTAGTGCATAATAATAAAACATTATTTTTGAAAAAAAAAATCAATATGGTTGTATTACATTCGAAAAAAGAATAATTTTGAGGACATGAGAAAAACTCCTCAAACAATGGGCTATCGCTCACAGTATTTATAACTATAAATTGGAGATAAGTAATTGAGAGGCTTCACCTTTTCGTTTTTGCAAAGATAATAGTAAATTAATGTAAAGCAAGATGTATATTTTGTATGGGTAACATATGTGCAACGCGCTTTTTTTACACAAACGACTTTTTATTCCACTCGCACCAAACCGATATTGTTATTGTTATATTTACTGTATGGCATGGTACAAATAAGTCGTTATCTCTAATAAATGAGTGTCTTTACGAAAACTTTTGCGTCGTTCTTTCTGTCAAACGCACGTTTGCCCGACGTTTTATACAAACCAATTACCCGTTTGTTTAACGTTGACATGTTCACATATGATTTTTACCAAGTATACTAAGCCAATCATACGTATACGTAACGTAGAAAAGCTTATGCAACGAAATGTATAATTACAATCCCATAATCCGCTTGTCATGAATACTAAAAAAAAGAGACGAGTACGTTAACGAGTAGGTTTAATTCTTATGAATCGGGCAATTCCCATATCGAATCCTAGAAACATTATGAAAAAAAAAACAAATAAATTAAATTAATTACGCATCCCACAGTACCGTATAATCTATTTGAATCATTCGTAACTTTTCTACGAAATGTTTATATATTATAGTTATTATGGTTGGTACTTATTCATGTTATGTGAGTGTGTTGAGCAGAAGGGATTTTACATGGTAACGTGTCGTGTGTTTTGACATCTGGAGGTTATGACAAATTTTACTTACTTTGCTTACATCAGTTTTTCGCTATTTTGGTAATTGAACTCAAAACTCTTGTCACCTTGTCTTTAGAAGGTTTGTATACGAGTGCTTGTGCAGAATTGTTAGGCGGAATGAAAGGCCGTTTGGCAAATTTGGTATCTGTTGTGCACTTTATTAAAGTCTCTATATTCAGTCTCTATTCAAAAAATAAAATGCTATCATCTGAGCAAGTACACGTTCGTTCGTGGATTATCTAATTCCAATCTGAAGATACAACAATATGCATTGAGAGATAAAGTAATAGTATCACAGCATCGTCGCGGCATCAAATGTCGATACAATTACATATGTAAATTGTTGTTAATAGCGATAACGAAGAAGCATCTATTTGGTTACGTGGAAGATGAGAGGTAATTATTCGTACCAAACGTTCGAACGCGGGGTAATTAAGTAATGGACTATTTTTCTGCAACCATTCAATAGCGTAACGATGGATAATACCAGCGATTATTTGGACCAGATAAATCAGATTGTTGTAGAAAGGCACCGAATAATAAAGTCAAAACTCTCTCGTTGATATTTGGAAATATCCCATTTACACTGACCTATACTCTACAAAGGTTTTGCCATCGCACCAGCGGAACGACTCAAACTGGTATGTATAAAAGATACTTTTCTTGGTATACATGTATCGATGCAAGTATATATTATTGATTCAACGTCGGGTATGAATGTGTAGATAAGAGGCATTTCTGAGAACGGATGGTTGAAGCAGTAGGTTTACCACAACTATCCGTTGAATGCGGATATAGTAATTGCAATAAGATGAACTCAAAATACACGAATCGTCGTCTTCATAAAGCAAACACGAATCTCAAGTAACGAATTCCAACGTCATATTCTCTCTTACTCGCCAACACAGTTGGACTTTATACAACAAATAAAGAACTACCAGTCGTTTACCAGTAGTGATGCAACCTGACATTGATTTAAAGAACATACATATGTTAACGTATTTATTTAAGAACTTCTCCCTTCTCTCAATACTCCTCCTCAAACTTTCACCGTTCAAACCATGACCTCAGTCAATAAAAATTCCCCTCTCAATAGTTCCGCTCCTTGTGCTTATTATTTAGATGGATAAATACCCTAGTAAAGTTTTACAACTCGCTTAATCAGTATTAAAATGCCGTCGACGCGCACTTATTTAATAAGCGTACATAATGTACTATTACGATACGTAAATAAACTCAAGGTCTGTCGCTTGTTGGAGCAGGATTCATCTGCAAAAGAGAATCAGATTAGTTTTTAGGCAAGCGACGCAAAAAAGTCAAAAGATCCCTGTCCTCCACAGTAATCAGCGTCTATGCTTGTCTATCGCTCGCTTCGCTTACCCTTCTCTTGCCACCGGTAAGAGTAACGTTAACAAATCTTCTGTTATAGACCGCACGCTTTTTAGCTCTTCCGGTTTTTTGTTTCTTCTTATCTTGCTTTTCTACTTTCGCAGTTTGAGATTTGACTTTACCCGCACGGGCCAAAGAACCGTGTACTTTACCCTGGGTGTGATGAGGTCAAAGATGAGTAGGGGTCAGCAACTCGACTCGAAGAGAAAGACGTTCAGTTATTTATTAGACCAGAGAACGAAGCGTACCATAGCTTTGATGTGTTTCTTTGCTGCGCAGGTATGAAATGTAAAAAGTTTTTTCGTATATATTCATTTTCACTGCCGTCAAATTTTGTATTCAGCCAATCGTTATGAGAGTGACGTAGCACCGTCATTTTTTTAAATGAAAATTTTCAAAGTCCAATCTTTCTTACGCCACAAAAATGTAAGTTTTTCTTTCTTTTCTCTCTTTTTTTTTCGCTGTTCTTCGACGACGATAACTTTTTAAACGGGCTGAAGTATATACCTGTTGACTGTTTTAAATATCACCAAGATCTCTGAGAAAAATTGATTGCATTCTATACTACTTACATTCTAAGAGTTTGGTCTCTGTCTAATTTCAAAAAAAAAAAAATTTTTTTTCGTTCCCATTCTTCAAACAGGGGAACGTACCTATTGGATTTGACGATACTGTGCATACACAAGTGCCGGATATTCTAAATGGCTTGATAAACCGGTTAATAGAGGAGTAAAAGTGAACCACTGTCTTGGATCCTGTCCTGTAAGTAATGAACACAGTTGGTTCATCAAACAAAAATGGACCATCTAATCACTAATAAATGTCTTGGTCGATTCATAATGTGCTGCAGATTTAAAAGTATACGTTTGCAAGGTAACAAGTTACTGACAGACGGGGAGGTGTTTCGTAATTTGACAATTGGGATACGACAGAACCCGGATGAATATGCAATAGCACGTTAATCCTCGCTCAAACAACAGACAAGAATATGTTTTAATGTCCCTGGTATCGTTATTCAGCGATAGTCTTTTATTACTGTCGGTCTAGAGATTTGCTAGTTAGCGATCCGTCGTCCATTTTCACGTCGGTACCTGATTGGTCCATTTTATTATGACGTAACATTTCAATTAGACGTTCACTTTTCTGCACAGGGATACACGTTATTAATATTAAAAGTGTGTTATAATATCCATATAACTAGAAGTCGTCGATCTACCATTTGATTTAATCGTTTTGTAATAACATTAAGAGGCAATCAGTTATAGTTTGGTCCCACACAATACAAATGGCGCGCAGACACACACCTCCAGAAATAGATCTAAGTCATTTCGAGCGACCTTCCACATACTGTGTGCTAGATGCTATCAGCCAGCAGCTTGTGCGAGAGCTTTCCGGTTCTTACACCGATGTCTCCTCAATAACGTCAAAGGAATTGTCTGTTTTCTTGGGTTCGTTGATGAAGTTTCAAAACCAACATCTTGGCATTGGAGTTTCTCAGAAACTGTCTCGCTACCCAGTCAAAATACCAATAAAATTGCTAAAGATCGAACCCGCTCCGACACCGGCATCACCAGTATATCACGTACTGGCAGCTGCTTACAAGTACAAAGCCTTGCACGAAATACGACGGTGGGATTGGCAACGAATCGATAAAATAGCAGAACTAATTACTTATATCAGACAAGAACTTGTCAGACGAGGTGTATTGAAATACCCGATAATTATGCTTTCGGACGATATACATCCTGATAAAGGATTAGAGCTGATCGGAATAATTAGCAGGATGGGAGGTACGTTATGTGTGAACTGTTGTTAGCATTGTTTACGTCACACACAAACTTGGAAATCGTTATTAAAAAAGTAAACTTTAATTAATTGGAATGATCCGGTTCCAATCACGGACAATTCTCCTCGACCCCCCCCCCCCCCCCCCCCCCCCCCCCCCCCCCCCCCCCCCCCCCCCCCCCCCCCCCCCCCCCCCCCCCCCCCCCC